CAGGCTGCCTAGGCCTGGTGGGATCTGGGGGCCTCTGAGCCCCTCCTCCCTCTCCTGGAGCTTCCCGCCCACCCTGACTGTCTCTCCAACGCTCCCACTAGGCCGGTGCTGTTCCTGTCTGCCCAGTGTGCGTCCTTGTCCCTGGCTGTGCCTCTGCAGTGTACCTCATTTTCTTTCTCCATCTCCAAGCTTATATGTCTCTCATCTTTGCTCTGGCTCTGCCTTACCTCTCTTGCAGGTCTCAGAGCTCTGATGTCCTCAGGCCTTTCAAACAGTTGGTCCAGACTGCATCTTGTGCTCCTGCCTTATTTCTAGGACGGGCACTTTAGGATTGCTAAGGAGGGAGGGACAAGGTCCCAGGACAGAATGCCTTTTCCCCTCACATGGTGGGATTCTGGGCTCTGTGATTGTCAAGGGAGGACTAGAAGCTGTGTTGGTATCATCTTGGCCCTGTCCAGGCCAGATGCCCTCTGTCAGTTGGAATGTTCCAGAACCTGTCCTGACCCCCCAGGATGACTAAGCCTGTGAACTTCTTTGAATCAAAATTTCTCCACTTTGGGGTGGAGATGTGATAGTAACTTTGCTTTGAAGCCATTTCCTGGGAGCTCCCTGCCCAGTCACTGTCCAGCCCAGATTAAGACTACCTGCCTTACTGTACTTAAGCCAACCAGCAGTTTGAAGCTCAGGACATACCATTGCAGACCAGCATTCACCCACAATTGCAGCTGAGGACCAGTCCGTGTGCTTGACCTAAATCTGGTTCTGACAGAAATTCCTCAGAGAAATAGGCTCATGTACTCAGATGGCTTTCTGATTCTTCATGGGTAACATCCAAAGCTAATGTCTCTCTCTCTTCCTGTAGTTTCTACCCTCAGCTAGACTGAAGTAGGGGATGGGGAGCTGGGCCCAGAAATTCTGGGGCTGCAAAGAGAAGACCTGTTCCTTGATTCTAAGTCTGACTCAAAAGCTTGGAAAATGAGCTCTGTGATCTACGGTCTATTCCTGTATGATATTGTCACTGCTAGTGACTGCCAGTCTCCATGGACGTCAGTATTATGATGGACCACGGCTGGTCAGTCTGACTGTGTCACTGTCTCTGTGTATTGATATCCCAGGGGATGTCGCTCTATACGACTGACACCTTTGTTCTTGTCTTTGACCCTGAGGTGACTGTCACTGTGACCTTGTCATTGTCAACAGGTATCATGGGCCTGTTTGTTGCTGCTGTTTTATGTAACTGCCATTCACTGCATCACTGCCACCCTGGTGACTCAACATTCCAAAGTGTCATTGTCACTCGTGTAACTGTTATTTTTACTGGGTAGTGTTTTCACTGTGTGATAGCATCTTTGTGCCGCAGTGGGACAATGGCAGTAAGCTGGAACTCCAGGATTTGTCTCTGATTTGTCACCTGGGTGTATATAAGGATGGCACTGTGGGTTCAGGGTCGGGAGAGCTCTTGGGTCCCTGTAGTGGCGGAGCACTCAGGGGTTGCTGGCACTGAGCGCCTTTCTTCCTAATAGGATGTCTCCTTTCCTTTTTCATTTTGTGCCGGGGCCAGAGGCTCAGGCTGGCTCCCTGGGGTGGGGGCTGTGAGGAGCAGGGTTGGTTTGCATTCCAGAGCTGTGGGGCGTGGAATTGGAAAATTCCTGGGAAAAATGTTCTTTGGCCTTGGATGAGTGGCCTGAGGTGAGCTAGGGCAAGCCAGTGGTGTGTCCTGGATGCCTTGGCCTCAGTTTACCTACCTGGGGAATGGGGTCCAGTTGAGATTTTAAGGGAAGGGAGAGTAAAACTGTCTTGGAGCTTTTCAGGAGGGCTGAGACGGTATCTTACCTAACCCCATGGGGACTCAGCTCCTGGATCCTCAGGGAGAAGCTGATAGCCCCCCCAGGCCCTAGCACTCACACCCCCTCCCATTGCAGGGGCTCTGTGGACTTAGAGCGATGCTGCAGAGTGGCCCTGCGGGGGGGGGGGCGGGGGGCGGGGATGTCTTTGCTGTTCTCTCTGGGTCCTCTCCTGCCTGCCCTTGAGTCTCTGCCCATCTCCCACATTTCCATCTCTCCCCCCGTGTCTCTTCTCTCTCTGTTTCTCCTCTCTGTTTCTCTCTGTCCCTCCAGGTCCCCACTGATGCCTCTCCCTCCTTCCTTCCCCCTGTCCCCCCTCTCTAGGTTTCTCCCTTCTCTGGGCACCCCCAACCCTGCAGTGTCTGTTTGGTGCCCCCTCCCCCACCCTCCGCAGCGCTCTCAGCAGCTCTTGTCTCCCATGGCTGCAGCCCCGTTGGCCCAGGGCCCGGCCCTTACAGTAACTCATCGGGCTGATGGAGGCGACTTTGATGAAGAAGCCACCCCCTCCCCCTGCAGGGGCCTGAGAGTGTGTATGTGTGTATGTGTGTGTGTGTTGGATGCTTGCACAGCCATGCCTGGCCATCCCCTCACCTGTCCCATCTGTCTAGGACCCAGAAAGAGCTGGAGGGCAACCCTTCCCACTTCTTCCCTAAACGGTCTCCCATCCTATGACCTCACCTCGAATGCTCTGTGTGCCCCTCTGGCTCTACAGACCCTGGCTGTGCTGCCATGTGGTGGGCAGTGGGCCTGGCAGTGAGGTGGCATATCTTCCTGTGAGGAGGAAGGGATAGACAGATGGCAGAGACCGGGAGGGGCTGAGGGCTGCTGGCAGGGGTCAAGGTGGTGGACAGATAGGCCTCTAGCCCCCCCTTCTTTATCTTTTCTGCAGCACCAACTCTGAATTCAGACAGTCCTGGGTTCATGCCCTGGCTCTCCTGCCTCATGGCTGGAGGACTTCTCCCATTGTCCTAAGCTCCTGGGCCTGAGGACTAGCTGAAGATGGGGGAGTGGCTGAGGTCAGAAGGGGCCAGGATGAGGCAGCTCAGGCCCAGGAGTCACTGCTGTGGGAGAGTCATTGATGCCTGAAAAGGCACAGGGAAAGCTGTGTGCCTGAAGGGGCATCGGACACCAGTAGTTGTGACTGGAGGGAAACCAGGTTTACGTGGGGAATTCGCCTAGTGAGCGCTGTGTGTGGGTACAGGGTGAGCAGGACCCTTTGCCCAGACAGAAATCCAAAGGCAGATTCTCTCCGTCCACCACCTTGCCCATCAGCTTCCAGAAAAAACCCGGTTCTACACACATTCACACCCACAGGTCTCTCTCCTCAGCTAACGCTGTGTCTGCAACGTCTCGAACTGTTTCCCTGGATGTATCTGGCAGTATGTCTCTGGCTGTGTGTCTGGCAGTATTTCTGACAGTGTCTCTGGCTGTGTCCCTGACAGTGAATCTGACTGTGTCTCTGACAGTGTCTCTGGCAGCGTTTTCAGTACAGATCCTTCCTGCCCAAGCATCTGGCTATTTCTCTAGCTGTTTTTTGGGTGTACGCCTGTTTGCGTCTATCAGCTTCTCTGGTATTTCTCTGCCTGTGTGTCTGACAGTTCCTCTGGCAGTGTTTCTGACAGTGTCTCTAGCTCTCTGGCTGCGTCTCTGATGGCTTTTCTGGCTGTTCTTCTTTCTTTCTCTGGTGGTGTGTCTGGTTGTGTGAGGCAGAACTTTCTACAGTGTTTCTTACAGGCTGTTTGGTAGTGTCTCAGCTGTCTTAGAGAGCTCTTGTGGCCTGGTGGTTAGAAGCTGCACGCTGCCAACCTAAAGGTACATGGTTCAAATCCACCAACTACTGCGAGGGAGAAAGATGGCCAGTCTCCTCCCATGTGATTTACTGCCTCTGAAAACCTGCTGGAGACTCGGCTCTGAGTTGGTTCCAACTCCATGGTATATAGCAACAAGAGCAACAACTGTCCTCTTATCGTTTGTCTGGCTGTGTCTCCCTCAGGTTATATCTGCCCATTTCTTTGGTTTGATCTGGCAGTGGCTCTCCTAGCATTCCCGTCACATCTTCACCTGTGTGTGGAGCTTTCTTTGGGCTTCTGTGGTGTTTGGAGAAGTGTCTCTGTCCAGTGTCTTTTCTGTGCATCTGTGTCTCTGACATTGTCCTGATTGTGTCTGGCTCTGCCCCTCTTGGGATCTTAGCTTCTGTCTGGCTGACAAGTTCTTTCTCTTCAGACTAGAGTGTGGAGTGGCTCACAATTGGGGCCTATTCTGTAGCAGTTGTTCCTATATACCCATGTGTGAGTACATGCGTGTGCGTGTGTGTGTGTGTGTGTGTGTGTGTGTGTGTGTGTGTGTGTGTGTATGACTTGTTAGGCTCATTCCAGGAACCAGGATTAACAGGTAGGGCCACCAGATCCAGCCTGGTTTCTGGGAACATGGCCTGTGCACCTCCATGTGTGCGTGAAGATACTGTGGACATTGGCTGGACTGGGGTGAAGGAGGGGCTGTCATTCCTGAGGGGACATAGATTTGCAGATCCCTCCTACTTCTCTTGATTATTGGTATTTAGGAAAGCAGGAGTCGCCTCTGCCCTGAATCCCATGGCCCCACTGCCTTGGTACCCTGCTGCCTGGACTTTCCCGGAGTCCATTGGCAAAGCTCATTGTGGGGCGGGACAGAGCTGAGGGGCTCCTCAGCATCCAGGTTTCAGGCAGGGGGCCTCCCATTCAAGGCAATTTGGAGAAGTACATGTCTCTAATTAAGTTAAAACATTCCCCTTTCAGTTTGTGATGTTTATAGCTAATTAGCTAACCTCACCAGTAGAGCTGGTTTTTGCCTTTATTTTTTTTTTTAAATGGCCTTGGCATCACCAACATTCTATAACTGATCTGCAGTTGACTACATCCTCCAGCCAGCAGCCTTATCGAACAGCAAACCACGCAGGTTGCCTTCTGCTGTCTATCTAAACCTTTGCCGATGGATGCCAATAATGTTGCTTTCTACCTCTTGAAAGAGGATCCCAGGCCCCATTAAGAAAGGCATTTGAGGTCCCGGTGCCCTGACCCTAGGGCTGGGGCTTTCCAGTCTTGCCTACAGAGGGGGTTCCCAAGGCAACTCTGCCTGAGCTGATCCTGCCCGCTCCTCTGCCCCCATTTCTCCCAACAGATGGCTGCTTCTGTCCCGTGGGCCTGCTGTGCTGTGCTTGCTGCTGCTGCTGCTGCGGTCGTCTACGCCCAGAGACACAGTCCACAGGGTGAGTGCTTGAGGGCCTGAGCCCTGACCAGCACAGGTGCACACTCACACCCTCCAGGAAACACACCGGCATGGTCACACATGAATCCCAAAGGGACGAGCGGCCATCAGGACACTGCCCTCCAGCATGGCCCACTGGTGTGGTCTCACCAGAAGTCCCCAACAGTCACAGTTTGGTAATCACATGCTGATGGTGTCTCTTTCCACCAGGTTTAGTGCAGGGTGCAGGTGGATAGGAAGAGTGACTGGGTGTAGGTTGTGCAGTGGTACTTTCTGGAAGTGTGTACGGAGAGCACAATTGAAGGTACTGGAAGGAGACATCAGTCCCCTTCTGTCCTCAGCCTCCTCTTGGAGGAAGGATCACTCCTTCCCTCATTGCTGCTGGGTTGGAACCAACCCATAGCTGGCTGCCCTCCTGGTAGGTTTTCAGAGGCTGTGATCATGTGCGAGGAGTCGGCTCATCTTTTTCATGAAGAGCCACAGATAGATTCAAACCACCAGAGAGGTGCCACCATTAGGTTAATAAAAAAAAGCAGAATGCTTTAGGAATTTGCAAAAATGACAGGAAATTTCTTGAAGCATTGCCTATTTTTAGGAGGGAAAATAGAGACCTGAAAACAAGATGTGGGAGGGAAAACAGAAGGAGGCGACAGGTCAATGGGCTGGGGTAGCTGGAGGAGGGAGGGCTTGCTCAGGGCCAGTCTGTATCCTTTTTTCCTCATTTGTCCAGTGAGCGTTGTGTCTTTCCCACAGCCCCCAGGGCAAGGAGCTGCACCTCAACAGAGGAACTTTATCTGAGCCTCAGCCCTCCCATTGCACCTCAAATGACCATATCAACATAAAATCAGAACTTGGAATTCTGCAGCAAAGCTCTAAGTGGGGGAGATATCCCCCTTGCTTGGGTCCTGCTCGGAGGTATCTCTGGGGTCCAAGCACAGAGCACACCCTCTCTAATGAGTTCTGCCTCTCGTCAAAGCCAGGTGTTCAAGGAGCACAGTGGATTAGGGCTCACATGGTTGCCTCCCTGGAAGACCAACCTCATGACCCAGAGAGTATGATTGGCACCCTCAAGGCTTCTTCCCCACATTGACCACAAGGGCCAACAGGCTTCTCTACAGTGGATCTGCCCTGGGCTCCTATGCTGACCACACCTGCCCAGGGCCTGCTGGTGGCTTTGCCGTTGGCCTGGCCTCTGCCTGGGTGAATGCTTGTGTGCAGAGGCAGGGCTACATGTGACCAAGGCCATGAGTCCCTGAGCATGTGAGGCTCTGCCCTTGTGTTTGAGCCTAACCTTGTGCATTAGACACGAGACTGTGTTTCTGTGGGATTGAGCCCCCATTAGAGTTTGTCTCTACCTGGTTGTGTCCTTGTGGGCTCTGTCCCATATGTGACACTGCACGTCCGGGGTGGGGCTATGTTGTTTGTTTGAGTCCACCTTGCACACCTGTACGTGTCATGTCCTTGCTCAGTCGCCCCCTTGTGTGTGAGGCTGTTCTCACAGGTACTCGTGCCTCCAGGTGACAGTGCCCTTCCAGTGCCTGCTGGTGATCTCCCAGCAGGTGTGTCTATCCCTGAATTGAGACAGCGTCCCTTTGTGACTGTGAACTCATGTGTGACTGTGACCTTGTCGATGACTGTCCTGTGCATGCTTGTTGTTTGTGGATGACCTTCCTGCATGTGCGGCAGTGTGTAGCTGCTTCGTTCGGATGTCAGGGTGGGGGGACTGTTTCCGGCATGTGGTCCCCATGTGAGCCTGTGTGCGCAGGTGTGAGGGAGCCGTCAGCTCTGTCCCTCTGTGTTCTCGGTGTCCATGACCTCATCCTGTCTCTGTCTCTCATCCTGGCTTCTAACAACCTTTTCACAGCTGATTCCTTTGGAGCATTTGTCACTGCGTCAGGGCCAAGAACCCGGTCCTCCTCCTGCTGCTTGATTTAATTTCTGAAATGGACAGCCCATCAGTAGGGGCACCTACAGGGCGGGAGGAGAGCTGTCCAGAGACAAAGGATTAAATCACTGCCATCTTTGGAGCTGTTGCTTGACCGTGCTTGTTGCTGCTGTTGTGTTACTGTAGGCAGAGCTGATGCTGTGTGATTGTCATGGCACGTTGCCCCCTCCGCCTCAGCCTGTGGCCTGTAGCTGTCATCTGTCATGTTGTCACGTTTCCCCCCCTCCCATCCTGCCCTAACACTGTCGGACTGTCATTGTTGGCGGGTTGTGTTCTCATTTCCTTTGTGAGGAGGCTAAGGTGTGGTGGGGACAAGCTGTCCACTGTCTATTGCATTTGCTATGTTGTTGGGTCATGGTTTCTTTCTCTTATGGACAGACATGCATTAAACGTCCCGTGCTGGGTCAGTGTTCCTCCTAAGCTGTTGGTCAGTGTTGATGTGTTGCCCCTGGGACCATGATAGCCACTCCTCCTTTGCAGCGGTCAGTTTTCAGCCTCCTCAGGCAGCTGGATGCAGTGTCTCTGCTGGGGGGGGGTGCGCGGGTTGTGATGCAGGGAGAGGGGCTTGGCATGTTTCCTGGAAGCTCCAGGTTTTTGGAAGGGAGGCTAGATGGGGGCTCAAGTGGCTGGAGCTCGTGGAGGGGGGTTCTGTGGCCTGAGCCTCGGACACTGGGCCTCTGGTCAGGGGAGGCCCCCATCAGTCTCTGGTTCAGCCTCACAGCTGTGGCCTCCACGGCCCCCAGCCGCCGCCCTTCCGCCCGTTCATCCTCTGCTCGGCTGGTCCCAGGCCCCACAGAAGAGTGGTCAGGGCTGGCCAGGTTCCCTGCTTTCCCCCTCCTCCTCCAAAGGGGACAGAGAGGCTCCGAGAGGGGCAAGACAGAGACAGGCGAGCGGAAGAGAGATCCAGAGACCTGGAGAGACCCCAGCATAAGGAGGGCGACAGAAGCGCCAAACAGGGACAGATGTTCCTGCACAGGGAAAAAGCCAGACTGGGGAGGGGGCTTTGGAGAGGGGAGGGGGAGCTGGATGGCTGAGAGGGATTCCCCACCCCCTGCAGACCTGGTGGTGTTAACAAGTCTAATTAAGAGGCCACTGGCCCAACTTAATTGGCTCGTTAACAGGAATCGCCTCTGAAAATCCCCCAACTCAGCGGGGTGGCTCTCTGGAGGGGAGATGTGAGCGAGTGTTAACGAGGGATCCCGCAGACCCCCCCACTCCCCTTCTTTCCCCTCTCCCACCCTCCCACTGCAGCTCTGGCTCTGGCCTCTGGCCACAACCAGGGAAGCATCTGTCCTTTCAGGCTTGGGGAGCAAAATGAGGGGAATGACAAGGGGTCTCAGGATTGGTATCTTCCAGGCGCTGCCTTCCTGCCCTTGCTAGTTGACTGTGGATCTGAGCCTCTGACTATCTCAGTCCCTGCTGACTCCCTCCTCGACAGGTGCTCCCTCCCACCCTTCCATCTCCAGTCTCCTGGGTTCAGTCCATCACGCCTGGGTTGCCGAGGCCAGGACTGGGGGCTGCTCTTGGCTCTGACAGGCTCCTCCTGGGGTCAAGGAAGGAATGGTCAATGTGCTCTCTCAATCCCAGCACCCCCACCCAGCCTGTGCCGTTCCTGCCTCAGGAGGTTGACAGCTGCCAGTAGTTCCCTGGGGTTCTTGCCCTGGATCTGCCCACTTTCCTCTGCTGCTGCTGCTGCTGCTGCTGCTGCTGCTGCTGCTGCTGCCGCCGCCGCCGCCCAAGCCTGGGATGGTCGGGGAGGAGAAAAAAGGCTCTCAGGGGTAGGCAGAGTGGAAGAGAGAGAAACTACTAGGGAGGGAAATGGGCACAGAGAAACAGAATGGAAAGAGACCAGGGTGAGGAGGAAAAAGAGGTGGAGGAGATAGAGAGGGCGCCCCTGAGCTCCAGCTTGACTGGTGACAGATGTCAGTGGCAAGAAATTAGGGTCACAAGGGTCAGGAAAACTTTTAAAGGACCCAATGACTGGAGGTGAAATGGGTTTTCACTGAGATCTGACCCTTCCTAGCACTCCACACTAACACACACAAAGATTGCCCATTCACAAACACATGCTCATAGTTGGAGACCTTCTTATACTACAGCACTCTGGTTCCATCACAGTTTTGCACACTTGCTCATCTCTGGAGCCTGACCAGACTCTCACACGCTCTCCCAGGCCCTCATCTCACAAACGTCACTTGGGGGAGCTGGACAGGGGCTGTGACCTGTGCCTTCTGTCCTTTGCCCCCTGCCCATACAGAGGCACCCCACGTGCAATACGAGCGCCTGGGTTCAGATGTGACGCTGCCCTGTGGAACCGCCAGCTGGGATGCAGCAGTGACGTGGCGAGTGAATGGGACAGACCTGACACCCGACCTGCTCAACGGCTCCCAGCTCGTGCTTCATGGCCTGGAACTGGGCCACAGTGGTCTCTACGCCTGCTTCCACCGTGACTCCTGGCACCTGCGCCACCAAGTCCTGCTACATGTGGGCTGTGAGTGCTGCCCTTTTACCCCTCTTCTGACTTCCTGCCAGAACCCTGGCCCCAACCAAATACCCTTCCTGTGGGTAGGGATGTGGTGGGGAAGTGCCTGTTGTTCCCTGACCATTGTCCTTTGACCTCATCTTAGACTGCTTTTCTGATCTCTTGAGCTGAGACCTGTGAACATTCATCCACCTGTTGTACCCCCCTGAGATCTTGCTTCCTATGGCAAGACAGAGAAAAGCGGGCAAGATATGACCCATCTGGGGCCTGGTGGGATCATAGCTCTGAGCTGGAGCGGTCAGTATCTGCTTTCCCAGGCACTGGCCATAATGGCCTTAAGGAGAGAAGTGTGTGGATGTGGGTTATGCAGGTATGTCCACGGCCATCCAGATGATACCACTCATAGCAACCCTTCATCAAGTGTCCAAGGCTGTAAATCTTTCTGGGAGGAGACTCCCATCTTTCTCCCATGGAGCAACTGGTGGATTTGAACCACTAACCTTTCTGTTAACAGTAAGGTATGTAACATAGAAGGCTACCAGAGCTGTTAGAAGGCTACCAGAGCTGTTATGCAAGTATAGACTGAGCATTGTAGGATGCCCCTGGAAGAAGGCAGGTTTCCTGGAATAAGAGTCACGTGGAAAGTTGGAGGTTTGGAATGCATATTGGAGACAGCATTTCTGGCAGAAAGCTGAATGTGAATATAGACCTCTGGACTGGCTGGGCATAGAAAGGCCACTTGGGGTAAATGAGGGGGGTCCCAGGAGAGGGCAGAGGTACCTCATGATCCTGGATGCTAGGAAGTGCCAAGGAGGGTCAGGATCATGCAGTGAGAAGATCCCTCTCACTACAGTGGAGAGAGGAATTAGATAAAACCAGGACAGGAAGAACAGGAAGGAGGTTGCATCTGGGATCCAGGAGAGATATTAGGACCTGGGATCAGGCCATGGAGTCAGAGTTGAGAGGAGGGAAGTGGATCCCTAGAGGTTAGTGATGGCGTGGAGGTGGGAAGACGGGAAGGCAGAGAGGAGGAGGAGCTAAGTCAGCAATTGGTGCCAATACTTAGGGACAAGCTAGAGGGTTAATGTGGAGGACAAGCTGGTGAGATCTGCTTAGGTAGGATTTCCCTAGAAGCAGACCTTGAGAATTTATATGCAAGTAATTTATTTGGCAGGTGAGGGGTACACCCTAAGGGAATGCTAAAGGACACAGAAAAAGGAAGTTAAAATAGCCAATAAAGAGTGAGTCATCAAGACCATTACCTCTGCGTGGTGAGGTTAACACACTGAAGGATTTCCGGGGAAGTTAATGCAGCTTATGCACCACAGGGTAATCTGAGGGGTGGGGGGGCTGAGGAGTTGGGGTATTCATACACTAACTCCTGCCTGTGGTGGCCGAGGAATTCATCTGGGGTGAGGGTGCTTTAATTTCCCAGCACTTTTGGCCTGATGCCTCAGCTGGCAGAGTGGCCTTTGGTAGCCAAAGAAAAGCTCTTAGGCAAATAACTGCAGAAGCTGGCAGGAGGAAGTGGGGGGTGAGGACTCTGCACACCACCAAGATTGCCCCAGACATGTTGGGTCAGGGTTCTTGGAGAACTAGGAACTGGTGGATCTAAGACACGGGGCCCGCAAAAAGTCTGGGCTAGCGATGGGGCTTTGAGGGGCAGCATCAAGACAATGGAGGAGAGTGAAATGGCCAAATGGAGAGATTGGGGTGAAGAGATAAGAATACTAAAGACCATCACTGTAAAAGGAGTGGATGGGGAGAAATAAGCCACAGTGAGAAGGAACAGCAGGAGCACTTGGGAAGACCGCATGAGTGGGCTTTGGAGGAAAAGGTTTGGTGGAGAAGTTGCCTTGTTCCATGCTAAGGACCACACAGGAGGACAGTCCTGAAGCCACACTCTTCAACATCTGGGCAGATACCTGCATCTCAGGCAGAGCTAGGAGCTCCAGGAGGAGGAAGAGTGTAGTCTGTAGTGCAGCTAACCCACACGTTTGGTGGTTCAAATCCACTAGTGGCTCTTTGGGAGAAAAATGGGCATTCTCTTTCTGTTAAGATTTACAGCCTCAGAAACCCAACAGAAGGTCATCAAGAGTTCAGTGGCAGTGGGTTCATCCACGGAAACTCACCAACAGAGTAGATATTCTCAAAACAGAATCTAGTTTAGTTTGGTTTTTTGGTGGGTGTGGTTTTTTTTGGTTTTTTAATTCTGCTTGAACCAGATCCTCTGGCCTCCTCTCATTTGGATGTGATTTATCCTGTTGGCCAGAGCTAGTTTCTTTGCTCCTTGGGACCTACCAGATAAGCTGAGGAAATGGGGTGCAGGCCCTTCCCCTCTAACCCCATTGCTGGGAGACTGGTTTGGAGAACAGTGTGAAATAGTAGACTGAAAAGTTACTCAGGAGTCCCTCACAGAAAACCTTTGGTTCACCACTGGGGTGAGGAAAGAGGTGAAAATATGTCTTGGTAAGAATGTACCTTTCCCGTGCTTGCTTTGGCAGCACACACACTAAAATCGGAGCAATTCAAAGATTAGCATGGCCCCTACGCAAGGGTCACACGCAAGTTTGTGAAGTGTTCCATCGTATTTTATCAGATAACCATATGACATTTTATTTGTCCTGAAACATTAAAAGAATGATGGTACATAAAGAAAAAAATGTACCTTTCCCCACCTTGTGTATGTTTAGAATGGAGAGGTAGCGTTCATAGTTGAAACTCTTAGTTGCAGGCCAAGGGTGGAATGACCCCTATTGGACAGCTTGAGAAATGCAGGACCAGCCCAAGAATGTCATTGCTAGCTTATCAACCCCAGAGTCCATCAGAAGTGGAATACTATGCTTAGCCTTGGGCCTTGAGGGGAAAAGACCATTTATTGAGTCCAATGGAAGAATTCTGAGGCCAGCCTGGCACTGGACATTCAGGCCTCATCTCAGTTTAGACCTCGAGTCCTCAGAGTGGACAAAGCTGGTGGCAAATTCCCAATTTCTGATGAATTGACTTGATCTTCTTTGGGAGGCCATGGAGGGGGGGACTTGAAGTAATGTCCGCACCCGCAGGACATGCCCACAGTTGCCCTTTGGTGACAAGACCTTTTATTCATAGTGCTACCACTCCCGCAGGGCCTGTTTGTTAGAGGAGGGCTGCCTGTGACTTGGCTGTAGCATTAGGATCAGATACTTATCATTCCCTTATTTCCTTCTAAAGACCTGGTCAGAGGAACAGGGGTTATTAATCATGATTGTCTCAGTCACTTTATATTAGTAACAAGGGACTGAGCATGGCAATACTCAAATGATCCTTCTTACCAGCTCTCAGAACAGGACAAAGTTACCTTGATTTGTTGATCAGACCAATACATGTTGTCTGCATCCTACACACACACACAGCCTTTGTGTCTATTTCAAGGGAATCCAGCAGCGGAATTTTGTTGAGTCTTCATTAGGCAGGTCCCTCCATGAGCTCCCTCCTCAACTGCCTTCCTGCCCTCAAATGAATCCTCACAAACAAAACCCTAAGGAATCTCTTACCCAAGATTTTGAAAAGAGCCCCAGGTTAGGAAACAGAATCCCACAGTCCTTTTGTAGCATCTTTTTGTTTACTGAACACTGCTGATGCAGTATTATTTGGATTTTTAAGCTAAAGCAAGGGAGAGATTAAAATTCTCTTTTAGATGGACTGCCCCTTGTCCAGCTTTTAGAAGTCTGTATTTGATGATCAGAAAGTGAAACCCCAGACCCCCTAGGCCAGCCCTACTTTCCCCTTATCCTTGTTCGGCTGGGGAGGGAAGATGAGTAGGAGGGCTGAGGGTAGAAAAGGTGCCTGGGAAGAGGAGACGGGTGGGAGGTGGGAGGTGAGAGGGGGGCACGGAAGTTAGGTGCCTTATGAGATGCCAGGAGATAAGGTTGGGCCAGGCCATGGGCCTTGAGTGCCAGGCAGGAGGAGGAGTGTGGGTGGGGCCTGGGCAGGGCCTGGAGCTGGGTCACCCAGCCCCGCCCGGCCTGAGCCTGGCCAGCGCTGTGGGCAGCCTGCCCCTCCTCCTCGCTGGGCCGGCGGGCAGGCCTCGTGCGTGCCGGGGGCTCCAGCCCAGGCGGGCTGGCGAGATGAGAGGAAAAACATGCGGTTTGGTGGGCTGGACATGGAAAAACAAGCCAATTAGGAGGAAAACAAACAAACCCAGGGCCAGTGGGGGCACACGCATGCATGCACACGCACACACAGCCCTGTGTGGGACCAGGGATGCCCTGATGACACGGTCACTTGGGCATATCTGGAACCCCCATAAGGGTGGTTCAGGCTGACTGGGCACCCAGGAGCACATGTGTAAAGCCAGAGTGGGACGTGGATGGATATCAGCTCATGTTCATTCTCCCTGTCAGCGCGTTCTCACACACAGTGTTCAGCTTACACGTGTGAACACGCTTGGAATTCTGGGCACCTTCCCACACCCACAGTTTGAAAACATACTCAGACTGCAGCTTCTACGCAGTATCTCACATGTGTAGTCCAGTTGTCACCAGGTGTTTGACACACATTGTCACACTTTGTCTCACAAAACACTTCACTGTATAGCCTCACACCATCTCTCAATCAAATAGCCACATACTAAGTCACAGGGCAAAAAGCCGGCGGTCGGTCACACACGGCCTCATGCCATACGACGACAAGCTTGGTCCCACATGCGAAGCCTCACAGCCTTTCACTTGCTCACAGTCAGCCTCTCAGCTCCATACAACATAGCTTCCCAGTCAGAAACACTCTCACAACAGGCCTCCCAGTCACACACTGTCCCACAATCTCACACTTGGTCTCTCACAGCACCCCCACCTCCGCCCACCCAGTCCCTCAGCTGGGCTCCAGCTGCAACAAGTCACTCCTTTTCTTCCTTTTCTTTGTTTTTCTTTCCTCCTTTTTCCTCTGAGAAACCTGGTCCCTGTCAGGAAACCCAAGCCCTTCCCTGCTCAGGGCCCAGGGCCAGGCCAGAGTAGCCAGATGACAGACAAAGCCCCTGCCTGGCCCCTCAGACCCCTATGCACTGCCCAGTCAGGGAGGGGAACTGGTTTCAGGGGAAGGTTGGGAGGAGGAGGCTGGTTCAAGGGGGGAGGACAGTCAGAGGGGGGAAGGAGGAGACTGGTCGGGGGAGGGGGCCATGAGCCTAGTGCCATGGCCCGCTCTGCCCTCTCAAGAGTCCAAGGTGGCAGGGCGCTGACTCTGCAGGCTTTAGTCCCTCCCCCCTCCCCCCCCAGCGCCCTTCTCCTTTGAAGCTGGGGTTGGGGCGGTAGCGGGCAGGAGGGGGAGTGGAGCCTTCTCAGCCGACCTCGGAATGTCCTTTCCTCCTGGGGCAGCTGCCAACTCCAGCCTGGCCCACAGGCCCCCACAAGGCACTTCCTGTGTCCTTGGCCGCCCCCCACCCCGCCCCCATGCTTCTGTGGCCCTGAGCAGATAGAGATGGGACAGGAGAGGCATGCAGTGTGAACCTGGAACAGACACAAGGTGGCCACAGGGCCAGGAAGACTTCACGAGAAAGAGAGCAGAGCAGTGGGCACAGGCCCCCTGCTCTCCTGTGCAAGCCCATGTGTGGGGCCACCTCCGCCCACAGCACTGCCCATTTCACCTGCTACACCCACACTTTTCTGATGCCCACTTGCCCCCACCGTCTCAGACTCCTCCCTCTACAGCTTCACACATAGCAGCCATGTCCACACAGTCACACATTAACACAGTCATGTGCACACTGCATACGAAAGCCCACAGTTCCCAGCTTGTCACCATGGCCACCCTACAAGCATAGACACGCACTCTCCTTCACTGTCCCTGGATTACTGAACTACCCCCTCCCATTTCCTGTCCACCTGTCAGGCAGGAGGTGGGGGGCACAGGAGGGAGGTGTCGGTGTCCCTGGAGCTGTGGACGGACATTCCTTGCCTGGGTCAGATCACAGAAGTTGCCTCCTTCCAGGAACCTGAGCCGCCTGTCCTCACGCCTTGCCCAATGCCTGAGGGTGGGACAGCTGGCCTAAGTGCTCACAGCAGCAAAATGAGTGTGGCTGGACAGCAGAAAGGACTTCCTGAGTGTGTCGTGAGGGTTAGTTCCAGCTCATCTTTGCTGTATGAACCAGGCAGGTGCCCATCTTTCCCTATTCAAGCCACTTAGCATGTAAAAAACAAGCAAACAAAACCACCTAAAACTCACTGCCATTGAGCCAGTTTTTGACCCTCCACCCTGTTTCCAAGGCTTAAACTGCAACAGGAGGAAATGCCCATCTTTCTCCTTTGGAGTCACTGGTGGATTTGGGTTAGGAGTGCCACTCATCAGGGACTATGCCACCATAACTCCCTTAGCCATTAACTTGTTAGGGACCATTGAGTCGGAAATGACTTATAGTTAGTTGGTGAATTCGAACCACATGCCATTGGGTTGGCAGCGCAGTTTACCACTAAGCCACCAGAGCTCCCTTTTCAACATGTAAAAGGCTTCTTTTTTCCCTCCCTTGTTGTGTGCCATCAAGTCAGATATGACTGGCACGAGAGGAGACTGCCCATCCTTCTCCAGCGGAGAGTCTGGTGGATTAGAAGTGTGTGCCTTCGGGATTGCAGTGCTCCTTCTTGCCCCTAGGCCACCAGAGCTCCTGTAAAAGGCTTCTTAAAGGCTCTGTGATGGAAGCTGGAGATGGGGCTGGGATGAGGTGTATACCGCTGCTTCCTCTCAACAGGCATGTGCATGTACACAGTCATCCAGGAGCACCAACTCTGAGCGCCACATCCACACAGAGGCCTTCCTGTGTACCCACACTGTGACTGGTGGTCACTGATTCATGTAATACATAGAAACGCCTCTACACGAGTGTCCACAGACTCAGATGTGCACACCTACATGCTTGTGAACAGGCGCCCAGTGCTCGCTTCCTGTGTGGCCACCAGGCCTCTGTGCCTCTTAGTCTTTCCTGAGGGCTTCCTGAAACTTTCACCACCAAGTGACCCACCTGGGGTGTCTTCTCCAGGAAGTGCACCCTGCAACCAGACTCAGCCGAGGCCCTCCCTGGACTCTGTCACATGTGCCTGCTAAGGCCTGTTAGCCTCTGGGAATGGATGCAGTATGGAAGGATATGTGGGGCCTGTCCTTTCAGACAGCCCCTCCATCCTATGATTGATGAGCTGAGGCCTGCAGCCCCCCTGCTCTCCGAAGATCCTGCCTCTATAGAGCAGGTGGGGGGGGGGAATCCCTCTCCACATAGCCCTTGTTTTTCTTTAATTAAACATCTGGCTCTCTGTGGCCTGGGAAGCCTCAGACCCTTGCTGACAGCACCCCCCCCTCTGGCATTGCTGATGGGTTCGGGGGATGGGGTGAGCTAAGGTTCTGGGCCCCACCTGTCCCCACACTACGGCAGGGGACTGGAGGTTCCAGTGGTGCCCTAATGGTGCTGTCCTCACCCTTAGTGCCGCCTCGGGAGCCTGTGCTCAGCTGTCGTTCCAACACTTACCCCAAAGGCTTCTACTGCACCTGGCACCTGCCCACCCCCACCTACATCCCCAACACCTTCAACGTCACTGTGTTGTGAGTAGCTGTGCCTTTGATCCAGTCCCAACCCTGACCTCTGGCCTCACACCTGACCCCACTACCGGTACCTCAGCCCATCCCAGCCATGGGCTTGACCTCCCCTCAGTCTCTGCCCCTCCTGCCCCTCAATGTTGGTAATGGTACCCGAGCCCCGCCCCTCTGCAGGCATGGCTCCAAAATTATGGTCTGTGAGAAGGACCCAGCCCTCAAGAACCGCTGCCATATCCGCTACGTGCACCTGTTCTCCACCGTCAAGTACAAGGTCTCCATAAGTGTCAGCAATGCCCTGGGCTCCAACGCCACAGCCATCACCTTCGACGAGTTCACCATCGGTGCGTGGTCCAGGGTGGGGTTACCTTCTGTGTTGCACTCACCCCTGTGACTGGGAGTGTGTACCACTCCTGGGTGGAGGTGCTTAGTGTGTATCCCAAATGTGTGTATGACGTTGGTAAACTGTACATCTCTACCTGTGAACATGAGTGTTGCCTACCTGTATGGCCTGAGACACATCTTCAGCAGCTCTTCCCAGCGTCTCTTTGGCTCCCAGAGCCTGTGGGTGGGGAGGAGGGGCAGGCTGGGCCAGACCCTTACGCAGCTGCAGCCTCCCCCCCCACCCCCCCCCCCCCCCCCCCACTAATGGCTTCCTTACGGCCTGTGATGAATGAGGTGTCAGAACAGGAGACAGGACTGTGACAGATACTGCCCTCCCCCACCCATATCCCAGCCAGACCCTCTGCCTGCCCCTTCCCCATTCCAGGCAGACCCTTCAGCCTCCTCTTGTCCCATCCCAGCCTGATCCACTCTCTGCCTGCTCTCCCATCCCGTTGCTTGGCCCTGCTCTAACTCCATCAGACCCCCTGTCTCATCTCAGTCAGGCCTCTGTGTGTTGTCCTTTACCCCATTCCAGGCACACCTTTTGACTCATCCTGTGCCATCCCAGCCATATCCCGCCTGCCCCGTCCTCATCCTCTGCTCCCATGGTTGGGTCCCCACCAGGACTCTGACATAACCTGGGCTCTTAGATGCACTCTTCACAAGCACATGTGGACTGCCTTTTAACTTTAAACCACAGAGCTTGAGACCCTTCCAGGGGAGGCCACGGAACTGGAAGGGTTGAGAAGATGAACCTGACTTTGAACAATGTGTAATGCTGGTGAAGGAGGGGATGATTGAGGTGACGGTTGTAATGTTGGAACATCTCACTGGCTTAGTTACCAAGGAGCCAATCATCATGTGGATGAGGCATGAAGGATGGGATGGAATTTTAAATACCAGGAGCTGATGACAGCATCTTATCGTGATAGTCATTGGTGGTGATGGAGATGTCAGAGGCAGATGTAATGAGATGGTTGTTACTGGTGGCCGTGAGAAGATGATGATGATGGCAACACCTGGAGATAGGTCAATATGCTGGCTGGGACTGACGAAGCCAGCTTGATCCCAGAGATCATTATGGTAATGAAGCTGTGTGTTCTGAACAGTGAAGCCAGACCCTCCAGAAAACGTGGTGGCCCGGCCTGTGCCTAGCAACCCTCGCCGGCTGGAGGTGACCTGGCAGACCCCTTCAACTTGGCCTGACCCTGAATCCTTTCCACTCAAGTTCTTCCTACGCTACCGACCCCTCATTCTGGACCAGTGGCAGCATGTGAGTACCCTGCCCTGCTCTGCCCTGCCCAGCTCAGCTCCTGGGGCTACGATCAGAGCCATGCTGACTGGGAGGTTCCCATATCCTAGGTGGTAGTAGCTCCAGTGGGATCCTGAGAGAAGTAAGGGAGGCTTTCTGGAAGGGGAAACTCAGAGGAAGACTTGAAGGATGGATGGAGCCAAGTGAGGCGTCTTGAGTCAAGATCCTGAGGGGTTCCCAGTGCCCCCACTAAAGCAGTGGGAACATACATGTCTTTGTGTCTAGAGTAGTAGTAGAGATGGCAGAGTGGGCACTGTTTTTCCTGTCTTCATCTCTGGCTCTCTCTCTCTGCTCTGGTCCAGACCTTGGGCTTTTGCTGGACCCCACAGGCAGGACAGCCTCTGTCCTCAGGGATTCACAGCTGAGCCTAAAGGGTAAGGATCAAGTAATGTGGTCTAGCTTGGTCCAAGGGTGTGAGTTCAGGCCGTTATGAACGTCAGTGCTCCAAAGTCAGGTCTTACTTAGGGGTTAGCTTAAGCTTATGGGGCCAGAGGTGACCTAAGGTGGGGACCAAGGGGTGGGCAGATGTCAGCATGGGGGCAATTTATGGTCAGGGACACAAGTCAAGCTCTGATAGAAAAGCTCTGGGAGGAAGTGGGGATTTGAGGCTAACTTAGGATCCTCACGTTGAGAGCTCTGGCTCCGTAGGGTTACAGGTGTTCTGTGTGCCCCATGAGGCCTGTGGGCTAGGGCTGGGACTCAGAGAGAGTTCTGTGGGACAACCAGACTGGCTCCCGAGGGTCAACCTGTGCTGCTAACACGTCCACCAGGCTCCAGATCCATCCCCACATGCCCTTCTGCCATCTGGCCTTTAAAGTTCGTAATTCGATTCCTGGGCGTCTGTCCGGGGGTTTCGAGCCTGGCCCCCACAAAGGCTGCACACACGCTCCCATGCTCCCTGACAGAGTCCGGAGTCCCTCCCACCTGGCCAGCTGCCCGAGCCTAATGCATTGCTAATAACCAGGGTCTAGTTTCACAAGTCCCCCTCCCCCGCTAACGAGCTACAGGCAGCAGCCCCGCGCGTCGCGGCGCACACGCCTTGCAGTGGACCTGGCATGCTGCCCACAGCACACACAGGAACATGCACGCACACACGTGGCCCCCAGCAGGGACCGTGCTCACACATGCATGTGACTAACACGCCAAGACAGGACACTGGCCTGCACCATGGAAAGAGCTGACCCCTGCACATGCTCAGCAGAGTGGGTAGACTTTGTGTCGAGAGCATGCCCTGTCTATATCTCATTGGCACTGGGGTTGGTTAGAGTTGTGGCTCCTCTGAATATTCATTTTGCTCTGAATTGAATCTCCACTCCCCCATCTTTGACCTTGGAGAGAAGCAGGTGTTTGATCTGGGCGGTGGTACAGAGAGGGAAGCAGAGAAAACATCACTTGGCTTTTCAAGAGGACTTGAGATAGACCAGGAATGGCATAAGAATGGGCACAAAGCTGTTTGGCAAGGACTGTCTGAGAATAGACCAGGGAGAGAGGAGCACTGGAACCCAGTGTGGGCTCTCTGTGCTTCCTGTTCTGACCCTAACATAGTAGAGAGACCCTAAGGGCATGTCTGGCATCTGCCGCAGCAGGCAGGTCCCTAGGCAGGGGGATCTAGGGGTGGTGCTAGCTGCTGGGAAATTAGGCCAATTGAAGAGACAGTCTCTTAAGATAGTGGGTTTGGGGCTTGGTTAGTGACAACCTGGCAGGGGGGTCCCAGGCCTAGGAGGTGTGGCTGCCAGGAGAACACTGGACCATCTTCCTAGAGGGGTGATGTCCATCCACCATGAGTCCTGAGTGGATGATGGCTGCCCACCGAGGTGACACCTGCTCACCATGGGAAGACGTGCAGGTCTAGGGGGATAAAACCACCCGAGAAGCCTGGGGCCAAATCCTGAGGAGGAGAAGGAGGAGCTGAAGAAGCTGGGTTTATTCAGCTGTACCTGTGAGACAGAATGGGGACTCAGGGCCCAGGGTAGGAGGGTCTTTGGAGCCCACCGACCTGTCAGGGCTACGAGTGGGATCTGCTGAGCCCAGAAGTGGGCCCCGAATGACTCTGGCTCTCACCTGACCCCAACCTTCAGCAGAGCCTTCCGAATCAGGGCTCTAGATGAGAGGCATCCTGCTCCACCACATTGCACTCAGGAACGCACGTGCATGAGCTAGCATGTGCACTCACGGCCTGTCAGCTCAGGTAGCCCAGACTCCAGTTTTCTAGGGGGAGATTGGAACAGGGACCAGAAAAGCCCTACAGCCAGACATGGCCCAGAGCAGCCCCCTTCGCCGCCCCCGCCGGCTGCCCCTGTTTACGAGGCGGCTTAATGAGGCAGCGGGTGCCGCTGAGATGAACCAGAGCCCAGTCTGGGCCTGGGAGGGGCGCTGGACAGGCAGGCTGGCCTGAAGGATTGGGGGAAACCAATGGGCTGGGACTGGCCAGGCCAGGGGCAGGATGACGATGCCTCCAGGAGGAAACGGAGCAGCTGCCGTGGGGCCTGCCCGCTCAGAGTCCCCCTCAGTCTGGGTGGTAATCCACCAAGGTCTTCCTGAGGAGGCCTTAGCATGGACCAGGCAGGTGGGCATGCTGGATATCTGGGAACCTCCTAGCCTGAAGCCAGGCAGCCCGAGTGATAAGCATGTTGGCTGCAGTCTGTTTGGTGCTCCCCATGTACTGCAATGCTCGTTACAGCCCTGTGAGTGGGACACTGTCGTTAACACCATTTTACAGATGAAGACATTGAGGCACCTGGACCTTAAGTAACTCAGTCACCCAGCTCGTAAGAGACAGAACCACAGTGTACATTCAGGTGGCCTGTGACCTAACTAGGTGGCTACATTTCTTTACCTTGTTACCTCTGGTCACTTCCAGGCTGGGCCTGAGGTTGGTTGGGGGAGGGGAAGGTGATGCACATAATGACAGAGCCTTAGATACTCAGCAGAGGGGTCTTTATTCACCCCTAGAAGTGGTCCCAGCTGGAACATTCTCTTCCCCAGGGAAGTCCTCTGTCTTCCCTCTCCTAACCCAGTCCTTATTTCCACCCCATGGTCTGGCTTCAGGTGGAGCTGTCAGACGGCACAGCGCACACCATCACCGATGCCTACGCTGGGAAGGAGTATATCATCCAGGTGGCAGCCAAGGACAATGAGATTGGGACATGGAGTGATTGGAGCGTGGCTGCCCATGCCACACCCTGGACAGAGGAGCCACGACACCTTACCACTGAGGCCCAGGCCCCGGGTGAGTTCCCTCTCATCCCTGTACCTCTGTCATCCATCTGGCACTCCAGCCCCTGCCCCCTCCAGGACACAGACCCTCTACTCCAGTGGTCAGCACAATCCTGTCTGTCTACCTGCTATTGCTGTCTGTGTAGTGAGTGGTACCTGAGTGGTCTGTTACCTCTGACTATTGGAGGGCAGGGCCCGTCTGATGAGGGAGGAAGTGTTGGGCTGAGCAGGAAGCAGGAACAATATGGCTCATGAGCTGAGGGGACTTTGCCCTGAGTTTCTCCCATGTTCCCCAGAGACCACGACCAGTACCACCAGCTCACTGGCACCCCCACCTACCACGAAGATCTGTGACCCTGAGCTGGGCGGCGGCAGCCCCTCAGCACCCTTCCTGGTCAGTGTTCCTGTCACTCTGGCTCTGGCTGCTGCCGCCACCACCATTAGCAATCTCCTGATCTGGTAAGTTGGGTGGGGCTAGGCAGTCTAGGGGAGCCCCCAGGCCTGACCTTGTCCTTGCCCCTCACAGTCTCCTGCCTTGCTTCCCCAGAGCCCGGAACCCAGTGATGACACGACTGAGCACCTGCAGAGGAGCAGAAACCGGAGCTGAGCCCACAGACCCCAGTTTCGACTTTGCACATGGGCAGGAGGACCTTTTGCATTCTCTTCAGACACAATTTGTAGAGACCCCGGCGGGCCCGGGCCTGCCGCCCCCCAGCCCCACCACACCGGCCCTCTCCCCTTCTCGGGAGGAGGACCATGCAGCTAACCCACCCACCAAAGACCCTCTCCCACCCTCGGGCTGGACCCTCCAAAGCCAGCGACTCCCAGGAGCCCTTGGGGGTCTGAGGGGAACCCCTCACACCCTCAGTTTCTCCTGCCTCGGCCTCCTGTCTGTCCCAGGGTCTTTGTTGCCACCATCAGATTATAAGCTCCTGACGCTGGGGGGGCCCAGCCATTTCCCTCCCCCCAGTGCCCATACTTTTCAGTCCCCCAACCTCTGCCCATTTTGTACGACCTTCCTCTAGGCCCTACTCCTACCCACAGTATTTAATGCCCTGTCAGTCCCTTCTAGTCTGACTCAATGGTAACTTGCTGTATTTGAATTTTTTATAGATGTATATACAGGGGTGGGAGGTGGGGGGGTTCTCATTAAAGGTCACCATTTCATGAGTCCTTGGAACAGACCCACTTGGGGAGGATAAACCGCTTCCAAGGACCCCACCCCTTCCAGGCTTCCAGGAGGAAAGAAAGTGGAGTTGGGAAACATGAGGGGAGAGTATTCAGTTGTCAGGCAGATATAGTCCAGGGACACAAGCTGGTCAAGCCTGGGGCTCAGCAAGACTATAAGGCCTAAGAGGGCCAGGAGACTAGATAAAGGAAGAAGACTCTTGGAGCATGATTAGGGATTTCACTGGTGATTTGGGACTGGAATGAAGGCGTACAATGTTTATACCCAGGGTTAGTTACAGCTAGGACTCAATAGAGGACAGGTGAGGGCGGCCTAGGCTTTCAAGAGTGGCCAGTCCACACCCAGCTCCGCTCCCTACTTATCCTTCCAGTCCCCACACAAGGTCTTTTTGATATCTTTCCCCCAAGGGGTCCTCTGGCTCCCCAGGCCTTCAGGTCCAGCCCCTTATAGAAACCACTTCTCTAAGGTGCCTTAACTGAGCGTGTCCAACGAAGCATTGGAGCCACACTAGTCATCATCTCTGGCTTGGAGGTGGGAGTCTAAGGTAGATCAGAGCCCTAATCTGGGAGTCAGCCTTGGCTTTGCCTTTCTATGACTGGAACAAGAAGACACTTCAAATAAAAGCTGTCAACAGTGTCTACTCTGACACACCTCACATAGCAGGCGGTGGCCTCCTGGGAAGGAGCTGTCTTGCCAGCCCAAAGCAGGTGACCACCAGCTGCTCCTTGAGAGAAAGATGAGCAGTTTCCTCCTGTGCCATTTACTGCCTCTGAAAACTCGCTGGAGGGTCAGCTATGAGTCAGTTCTGATTCCAGTTCACAACAGCAGGGGGTACACTTGTAACAACAGGGAGAACTGCTGTATGCATCCAGACACCCCTCTCCCCCTTACAAACCCTTCTCATTCTGGGGACAGAACATAAGACACCACTGTTCACATCAGGCCACATGGACCACAGTGATTGGCTCAGGCCCTGGTAGAGCATAGACTCTTTAAGTGGGGAGCTGGTGAAGGGCCTGAAAGTGAAAATACCTGGCTTTCCTCTTGGTCAGATATGAGCAGACAAGAGGAATGTTCCGGGTGGGAGTCTCATGGACAGCAAAGGGCATAGAGGCCCAGGGCTCTCACGTAAAATAGCCTTTGAGAGGGGAGCACATAGCTTTTCATTCCAGGATTGCCTTTCTCCAGGTGGCCTGGAGATGTATCTTAACGCCAGTGTACCTGTCCCGTTCCTGTGAAAGGGGGCCCAGGTCTGATCCTGTATTCCAGGTCCAGAGGGGTAGAAACAATGGGGCTACCATCTCTCTTGCCAGGGACATTGTATTATTCTACAGTAAGCCTTCTCCATCCTTGGGGTGAATGGGTAGAGACCAGGGATTCTCCACCCTGTGTTGCCTTTCTGCAGTGAGAGTCTTGGTCAGCCCTGACCCACCCGCCGCCCACCCAGGACTTGGGCATCAGCAATCTGGCCTCCATTAACAACATGGGAAAGCAATTATGTGAGGCCTGGGGAGATAGAGGGGAGGGGGCCTGCTGAGCCTCAGAGGCATCTCCCTGCCCCCAACTCCAGCTCCCTAGAGACAGACAGGCCCTGTCCCAAGCTCCCAGGTGGTTAGAAGTTGGTGTCATGTCTATGACTGGACAGGCTCAGGGGGAGTCATTCCATCTTGGGGGTCTCGGCCCTTTGACCCCGCAGAGGCTGCTCGCCTTGGAGATTCTTAGCTGACAGTCTAGTACTGCCTCCCTCAAGTACTGTCCCTCCACATCTGGTTTTTCCCAGTGGTGATTCTGGGGAACTGGGATAAGCACAGACATCAATTCTTGGAGTTAAAACATAACCCAGAGAATGAAAACACCACTGGGGGGCTGATGGGGGAGGTTTGGATCCTGGGCTCAGTGTGCACAGTGGCCCTGCCTTTGTGTCCGCTAGTTCTCTTTGCTCCCACCAGGTACACTGGAGTGGGGGGATTCCTGCTATGGTCTGGCCTGTTAGGCCCCTGTCTACCTGATTTGCCAGTGCAGCTCTGCCTCATGAGCCCTTTCCTACAATGCTGGATCATCTCTGCCCCCACCTCTCTTCAACGTCCCCACACCTGTTGCCGCAGCTCGCTCTCACTGTCCCTTCCCATCTCTGCATATGTCTTTGTTCTGGTCTCTGTGTTTCTCTGAGTCTCTGCCGCACCTCTGGATCTCTGCATGTGTGTCTTGTCTGTCCTCCTGACTCTGCATCTTACTTTGTCTCTTTCCCAGTATGTCTCTACCTGCATCTGTCTCCACCATCTCATCTCCATCTCTCTGTCCCTCTTCCCTAACTCCTGTCAGTCCTGCTCCTTTCTGCACCCCTTTGCCCCAGCCTGTGGCCAGCAAGCTGCCTTTGGCCTAGAAGGGGGCTGTCCTGGCTTCTGCTGCCCTCTCTCGGCCACCCGCCTGCCCTTCATTCCTGTATCCAGACCAGCGCTACTTTGGGCTTATTGTTTACTTGTCCCACAAGTCCCACAATCTGCTTTCTCAGTGCCCAGCAGTTGAGCTAGTGAGCTCACTACCTTGTGGGCTGGAACCCTGAGAAAGATCATTATCCCCTGGAGAATGTCTTTGACAGTCTTCTGAAGAGATCATATTTAAAAGGAATAGTCTGATAGAGTGTCTGAAGGAAACTTATCTGAGAGGGAGACTCATCTGAAGGCATAAGGATCCAAGATGACAGTGACCAGCTAGTCCTGGTATGCCTGGGACTTTCCTGGTGTTGACACCATGTCTTACATCCTGGGAAACTCTTCAGACTCAGGCACATAAGACAATTGGTCATCCCCTCTGAGAAGGTCTTCCTGGCAGGGCCAATCTGAGGGAAGAGACTTCCAGGAAGTTTCTTTGGACAAGGACTGAGTGTGTAAGGGTGAGTGGGGAGGGTCCTTCCAGAAGGGCAGTGAGTGAGTGAGTGACCGCCAGGGGGCAGGGCAGGCTCTCAGGAGACTCACAGGCAGAGGGCCCAGAAAGGGAGCTTGACTGGGTGGAGCTGGGTGCAAGGTGAGGTGCCACCGGTGCCCAGCTGGCGCTGCTGTGCTATCCCATGTGAGTTGTGGTTATGTGCAATTTGGCATTTATGGCTTCATGTAGCTAGGTGACCAGGGATACGTTGGTCCCATGAGGTCAGGATGTGGAGAGTGTGCCTGGTGTGGCCTTATCTGAGGCTATAGGAAAGACAGAAGAACCTTGGCTCCTCAGGGTAAAGGATAGTGGAGCAGTCAGAGGAGGTTCCTGGGAGGGGCTGAGGATGAGGAAGACAGGAGCTGAGCTTCCCAACTGCCAGACCTGCGCAGCATAGCACTCCCTAAGTTTCCATACACAGGAGCCCCGTGCTCTGATAAAACATAAGGGCAGCCCCCATGACGACCTGCACATGAGGCCCTACCTGCCACCCTCCAGCTCATCTCCTGTTCCCTTCAACTGGGATTCCTGCCACATGGATTCCTCCCTGTTTCCCAATCCATGTTCCTGAACTTTCCTACCACCACGGCTTCCTACATTTTGTGTGCCACTTAGGAAGCCCTCTGTGGAGCATCTGAGATCCCTCAGACTTGACGGTTGCCTCCATGAAACATGCCCTGCTCATCCTCTTTTCCAAATGCAGTGAACACCCTGGTATGCGAAGGCCTAATCCTGGAGTCCTTGTCTCAGGAAGTGGAAAGACTTAGGGCATTGTATGCCTGGGACTTGTCCAGAGGAGGGGCTGAAGGGGAAAGACATAGACAAGTCAGCAATGGGGATCTCTGAGTAAGGACAGCAGAGTGAAGCCATCACAGAATTCTCCCCGTGAACAAAATGAGCAGTAACTAAGATAAAACAAACCAGAAACATTGAAAAGAAATTATGTTTGTAAACGTTAAAATGTGATAGCCAAAGGGAGCTCTGGTGGCCTACTGGCAAGAAGCTGTGCTGCAATCCCAAAGGCGTGCAGTTCAAATCCACCAGATGCTCCACTGGAGAAGGAGGGGCAATCTCCTCCTGTGCCAGTCGGATCTGATTTGACGGTACACAACAAGAAAAAGAAAAAGAGATAGCCAATGTAAGTAACAAAAGATTCTGGTGCAATGCATGAGTGCTCTCCTAAATGCACCCCTAAGAGCAGTGTCAAGCAAAGATGAGCCAACAAAATGTTAAGAATTCTAAAAAACTAGTAACCCAAAAGCAGGGAACTGTGAGGTGAGTAGATAGCCTCAGGAAACGTTTAGTAAAAAGCCTTAGTGAATGGAAGCCCTTACGCCTCTCCATAAGATTGCAGCAAAGGCAAGAAGAGCTTCCCTGACTGGATATCTTCGGGGGGGAGGGGGGGTGTAGGTTACTGAAGAAGCCAAAGCCTACAGGAAAGGACCAGGCTCTGTTCTGCATTCTGAGCACTCTGACCCGCCCACCCCAAGTGCCCATAGGTCTGGAACAATATTTAACAAGGTCTCTGAAGAGAGACAGCACTCAAGCCCCATCAGGGTCAGAAGGCTGCCCAATCTAAACCACCCTCAGGCCACAGGGGAGGAGAGAATCAAAAACAACTGGCAGGTTTTAGACCATAATTCCCAGGGGAAGACAAACTGGTCCAGAAAAAAACCAGGGAGATGCTCATAGAGGAGTTATTTATGCTCCAGAGCAAGGAGAGGTCAGTGAAACACCAGCCATGGTAAACAGGTGCAAAGGGAAAGGAAGTGGTGTGGCTTTTAGGCACACAAACTATAGCCAAGTTATAGGCAGAAAGGAGGAAAAGAGGGGAGAGACAACAAGGAAGACAGAATGTTGAAAATAGATGACGAACCCAGGCTAGAAGGAGATACTACCAAAGAAGTCAAAGCAGATTCCTGGTAAGCTCTTCCTGCTGAAAAAGGATTTCAGCGTGATGTGAAATCAATAGGATATGAACTCAAAAACAAGACAATGAGACAATAGAAGGAAATGAAAAGGGAAATTACAGATCTAAGAAAAAATTAACAGAAGGC